GAGAGGAAGGGAGAGGGATAGAGAGTCAGAAACATCAATGAGAGAGAAACATTGATCAGCTGCCTCCTGCACACTCCCTACTGGGGATGTGCCCTTGACCGGAATCAAACCTGAGACCCTTCAGTCCACAGGCCAACTCTCTATCCACTGAGCCAAACCAGTTAGGGCAGGACTATTGTTTAAATGCATAGGATGGCATTCAAGTTTAGAAATGAAAAGTGCCTAATACCAACAAACCTCACTACTGGCCCACCTTATTGCCAGCCCTTTTTTAAAAAGTAAAGAATTTGTATTTGTTTTAAGGAGCTGGTTATTATTCCCTAGTTACTATTTCACCTTAGTAAGCAGGAAATACCTTTTCTATGAAACTAAAAAACACTTGGTTTTATAACAAATTTAGAAAGCTTGTGCATTACATTCCTCTGGTAGAATATTTTTCTTAAAAATTAAAGAAAACTATTTTTTAAATACTGCTTTCACACTTTTACCTTCCAGGGAAATTATAGGAAAAAAGCAGAGGGGAAACCCACACATATATACACCTATTAATGCATAAAAGAATGTTTCTTACCCAACTGGAAAGTACACTGTGAAGGCGAGATGGTGCTGAGCTTTTTTTTAGCAAGGACACAGCTGACCAAACCACAGAGCATTCACCAACCCCATCATCCAACCAACTCCCTTGCTGTTCCCCTGGCTTGCATCCACTGGGCTCATTTCCACCCACCATTTGCAGGATGCCTCTCTACAGCCATATGGACCAAGATGATGAGTCATCTATCATCCAGAATTTTTCTCTTGACCTTTCCACACCCAATCACCTTTCGTGCACTCGACAGGCACATCCTCCTCAGAGCACGTGCCCTGTGCCCTGCACCCTGGAGTTTTAAGGCTGAACACAGGACCTCGGCATGCCTGACACTCCTCACTTTGCCAAATGGATTTATTCCAAAGCTTTACAGAAAAATCACAACTGAAAAAGTGACCAGATGGGGTGTTCAAGGGGAAATATACAAACGAAGTCAGTTAGGAGACTGACGTACTTGATTAAAAACAGACCTAGGATGTAAAAGAACTTCAGTTTTTCTCCCTGAGAGGAAGTTATGGCAAAAGCAAAGCATTGAAACACTAAAACACTCCATAGCTGAACTGACTTTTTGACTACACATAGCTAAATGTTTTTAAGTCCACATTTGAACGTAATACTTCATGGAGTCACCACACACAAAAAAATCTGCATATGAGGAATAAATAATAACAGCAGAATCTCATACTTATATAGCACTTATTATATGCAAACATTCTTCTAAGCACGTTGCATATATTCATTCACTTCATCCTTATAAACCCTTTTCTAACCCATTTTCCATGCAGAATAGGATGCAGAGGTCAGGTATCTTGCCCAAGGTCACACACACTGCCAATAACTGAAAAGAGCTGAGATTTGAAATGAGCAGTCTGCTACAACCTGGGGTTAATTATTATTACACTGACCACCTTCCCAAAAATCTGTAACACAGACGATACCCTTTTAAAACAGATTTTTTAAAGTTTACTAAAAAAGTTCACTTTATAAGTTGAGAAGCCTTACATTAAAGAACTTAAACTCGGGAAATTACTGTTAGGTGGTGGTGAAGCCAAAGTTTATTAGTCATGGCAAATACCTACCCAAGAAGTATTGGAGGGCTAACTCTTGTGAGTTAAATGTATAGCGTCTAGAGAAATTAACCTGGCTGAAGACGTGATGATAGCCAACAAACTCAAAAAGCTTGGAAGACAGTAAAAGAAAACCCAGGGCTGTGGTACCTAACATCAGTCACAATGCTGGCAATTCTTCCTGCTCAATCTCTTCTCCCAAATGATGTCTTCTTTCCATCACATTGCTATTGCTTAAATTCAGACCTTCAACATCCCTTGGTCCAACTATTCTACCAATCTCTTCTTTGGCTTCTAGTCATCACCGCCTCCCTGCCCAAGCACCTAATTCCTCCTCTGCTGCTAAGCAAACAGTCTTTCTGAGACACAAATCTAATGACATATGTGCAGGGGGGCAGCTGATCAATGATTCTCTCTCATCATTGATGTTTCTATCTCTTCATTCCTTTCTGAAATAAATATAT